GAATTGGGCACGAAATGAATGATATGATTTTGGGTTTAAAGTAACGAAATAAATGATTTTGGCTTAAACATTTTAGGAAAGGTTAGAAATATAGTCAAGGCTTTAGGAAATTTCACGAGACTCTTCAACTCTTTACCGAACTCGTTAATCAAAGACGTAAAAGGTACTCATCACTAGGTTTGGTTTTTGGAGAGACACAACAAGTGTCTACATAAGCCCCCACTTTGACTGAGTTTGGAGAAACGTAAGTTTCGAAAACAAAAGTCAAAGTAAGTCGATAGGGACGGAGAATGATTCAGAACGTTCTGCGATCCTAAAGCACCCTTTTTAACGCCGATACCTGCAGAAAGCGTCAATTCTACAAATAAAGGAGGTAAGGGGAAAGAAACACGTATCTGGGTTTAACGAGCACACGTCTTTGGGCGATATTTTGTTGAATCAAAGTTGTGTTGTTTGACAACCTCCACATTCTCAGGGAACGCTATCGATGTCCACTCTTTTTGAACAAAAGAGTCTTGAAAGAAATGCCCATGCGTCTCCGAACAAGAGCTTACTCAAGGGATGTTCACTCGTCCGAACAAGAGCTTACTTAAGGGATGTTCACTCATCTCCGAACAAGAGCTTACTCAGGGAATGTTCACTCGTCTCTGAACAAGAGCTTACTCAAGGAATGTTCACTAGTCTCTAAACAAGGGAGCTTTTAATGAAATGTCCACGCGTCTCTGAAAAAGAGCTTACTCAAGGAATGTTCACTCGTCTCTGAACAAAAACTTACTCAAGGAATGTTCACTCGTCTCTGAACAAGGGAGCTCTAGTAGAGATTGTCCACGCGTCTGTGAGCAAAAGAGCTTTGAAAAGGAATGTCGAGAGTGTTCGATTGGCTGCAAAGCTTCAAAGAATTGCTTTTGGAATGGTGAGATTGTCCGATTAGCTGCGAACAGGAGTTTCAAAGAATAGGTGACGGATGGTGAAATTGTTCGATTGACTCCGAACAGGAGCTTCGACGATTTGGTAAGATTGCTCGATTGACGACTCCGAAAAAAATCTTCAATGAATTGTTGCATTCTGTAAAATCAAATATTGCAAAAGGACTTTGCTGGTGTTTTTCTTGGGGTTGACCCAAGACTTAGTGTACTTGACTCATTGTGGTTGGTTAGCTTAAGGTTGACTCAAGGTTTGGTGTACTCGACTCATTGTGTGACTCAATGTGCTCAAATCGACTCGATATGTGCAAACTCAACTCAACGTGATATGACTTGATGCGTCTGTCGTGCATACGACTCGTGTGTGTAAACTCAACTCGATGTGGTGACACAATTCAATGTGCATAAACTCAATGTATTTTAATCAAAAAAATTTTGTCATTTTTGTAGAGGGTACCGACTTTCTCCCAAAAAGAAAGACGTGAAAATGAAAAGAGGTAAAGTGTTGGTAAAAAAAATGAAGTTTTTGAACTTCCTCAAAGGAAAAGAATGAATCGGGTATTGATGCATGTTGAATGAGCTTGATCAAGTGTATGTGTTAATCGTTGTATCTCATGATGCACAGATTGATAATCTGATAATGAAAGTATTTGGGTAACTTAGGCGCGGAGGCTAAGTAACTCATATCAAGATTTGATGACAACGGGTTCCAAAGGGAAGGATTATTTGGCTTATGTATTTGTGATGTGTGTGAAAGTGACACTAAGGTTAGGTTGAAAAGGCTAAGGGTGTGGAAAAAATATTTTGAGAAGAGCCAAATGATGGTGATTCTTAGGCTGGGTAGGCTAGTGAGGTAGGGATCAAGCCCCCAAGTCTAGCTCTAAATGGATAGGGTGAGCATTGGAGATCCCTTTATATAATCATGCATGAATGTAAATATGCATTTTTTTTATTATGGCCGCACCCCAATGTGAGGTTGCCTACGTATCCGTTAAGAATCAGGCTGAACGTAGCTCTAGCTAAACCTCGCACAAGTGTGTGTGCACCTCAAGGGAGGTCTTTCAAGGGTCGTAACGGGGTTAGGCTAAAGGTTGAATAAGAAAGGATAAAGGCTCAAGACCCAAAATAAGCCCCCAAGGTGTGCAACCTTGCATTTAAATCTTGGTTTTTAGTATGCTTGAGGTTTCTCACTTTTAAATTTGTTTTTTCTGTTTTTGCATTTGAGATTTGTTTTTGAATCTTCTTTGATAAGTGTGGGCAATCTCGATCATGCAGTCTCTCACTTGGCATTCATGTTTCTCAGGCACGGTGCCGAGCACTCGATAGGAGACGCAATCTGAGACGTGTTCATATCAAAGACATTGGAACACATGTCCTTTTGCACACTTTTATTGCTTTTTGAACTTTCAAAAATTTAGAACTTTGGTAAAAATCACTCAAGCTTTTGCTTTGAAAATCGCATAAGTTGCACACATCCCATCCCAAGGTTAGGTAGATGTGGGTTGAAGAAATAAAGGTTAAATGTTAAACGAGGCTCAAAGTGGTTTATCAAGAAAGGATTGTATATTTGAAAGGGTAACGATGATACGATGTGGCTACAAGGGGTGCGTCAAATCATTGGGATACCTTGTTCTTAGCTCGACATGGATTTTTTTTTTTTTTAAATGCAATGTAATACAATGATTATATACAAAGAAATAAATGCTCATTTTGTTGAAATGGAAAAGGAGAGATCAAACTTAAGAAATAAATCTAAGGAAAATGATGGAGGGTGCCTACGCTAGACTTATTGAGGGAAAGGGAAAACAAGAATAAGAAAATAATCATGAAATCTTGTCGTTGAAGCCTGCCTCGTGCTTTGTGTTTTCCTTGACCAAAGGTAGTAGAAAAGGAAATCACGGACGTTTCTTGTCAATCACATGACTCGAACACGATTCAACATGCATAGATGGGGAAAGATCATGGTGTATGAAAGCATAAAGAGTAAAGTATGTGAATGTGGAAAGTGTTTAAGAAGGAAGGTGTAAGGTATGTAATGTATGAAAGGTGATGGAGAAGGAAATGGTGTATTTGTGGAAAGATATGGAAATTTCCGGGAATAGGAAGGACCCTCAACTCGAATGACGGAAAGGATGACTCATGCATGGACCTAAGACATGGCCATGGTGTGAAGAAAGTATGTACAAAGTGTGTGCAAAGACTCGTGAGTGGAGGTGATATTTACAAGACTGGTGTCATGACCATGTGACTAGACATGTGGGAAGACTTATTCAAGACTAGGGAAAGACCATGTATGTACATTAAGTTGGTTAACCGTGAAAGTGGGACTCAACGAGAAGACTCGGAAAGAGCAAACTGAACCAATGCATGGCGTTGGAACTGTCGCATGGCGTTGGTTCCGTCGCGGCGCGTCAAACCTGACATGTTGCGATGGTTCCAAACGTCACGCGCCACAAGTTAAACTCGGTGTGCCAAAACTGGAGCATCACAATGACTTGTTTTCAGTCGTTCCTTCGAATATTCAGGCCAAAAGTCTTCTAGATTCGAGCATATTATTCATTAGGTTCATATTAATTAACCGAATCAAAAAGACAAGGTCTTCTTAGCTTTGGGTTAGTATATACAAATCATATGTACAAGAATCAGGTCAACACAAACAAAGGGTTAGTTCAATCACAAACAAGGTATGCACAAGTAAGATATGTGCAAGTAGTCAAGTAGTCACAACATAATGCAATGAGTTTGCCACCTAAGGCTCTAGGTCTCTAAGGTCAAGGATTATGGTGTTCAAGAGGGTCCATGGTTAAGAGTCCGGATGCATCGCCCGCAAGCCTTACCTTAGAAGGGTTGGCACAATGAACGGGACCCCGCAAGTTAAACTCAACTCCATGGTTTGGTGAATTCAACAAACCCAGACGCACCCATTATTGCACGGAGCGTTTATTAGGGTGGACGGAACGTGAATTCCCAAGGGCTAAAACCATATGTAAAACACATATGGGTTCAAAAAAGTCGAAAAAACCTAATCAGAAAATAAAATCGTTGAGACAGTACTAGATTCGGGCAAAACAGGAAGACAGAAATCTGGCGCAAAATCGTCGAACATTGTCCTTGGAAGGCAAGGACTAACGTCCGGCAACAGCCCTGTCGCAGCGCGATGAGGCTGTCGTTCGGCGTTGGTCCTTGTCTCCAGGCGACAGGTCTGACGTTTTGCGACAGCTTCGATTTTCGATATTTTTTCCGATTTTTCGCAGCGTCTTTTCTAATGCGAACTTTTTGATGCTTATGCCACAATGTTAATCAAAATTACGCACGTGAATATTTAGAATCTTTCAAGTCTCATCCACTCATTCTAAATCAATTGCTAAACAAATTAGGAATAAATTTAGAAATCCTCCCAAGCGGAGTCGCCAAAAACTGTAGGGAATTTTTCAACTCTCATTGAGCCCTACTATGCTTCATGCTTTTAGGCATGGCGGCGTTCCAAGGAAAGAAGCTAGAGATAAAAGAGTTGCCAACAAGTTTTAAGAACTTGTAATCTGTTCACTGATGTGAAGGTTACACCCCATTCACGATCACGCAAATCGCTAACTCCATAGTGGTCCGGAACTATGACTGGATTTTCAGGGATGATGGTACGAATCCAACCTACACTAGTGTAAAAAACGCTATTAGCAACTGGCGAAAAGTGGCTTTTAGCAACTGGCGCGTGGGGCTACTATTGTAAGGGTTACTAATGAGAATATTATTTGCAACTGGCGTATAAATGCGCCAGTTGCAATAGTCCTTTTTTATAACATAAATAAGTATTATTCGCAACTAGCCAAGTTTTAGGCCCGTTGCAAATAAGTAGTATTAGCAACGGGCTTAATACTAGGCCAATTGTGAAAAGTCTTTTTTTAAACTTTAAAGAGGTATTATTCGCAACTGGCCTAGTATTAGGCCCGCTGCTAATACTACTTATTTGCAGCTGGCATATAATTAGGCCAATTACAAATAGTCTTTTTCTAAAATTAAAAAAAAAATGCAATTTTTTTAACTAGATTGATCTACAAAATATATCAAAAGTTACTAGTATAACAGAAAAATTATGTTAACTTTATAGTATACATTAATAACAAATTGTTTGAAAAGTTACAAGGTTATATTAAAGATGAATATAGAAAGCTAACACATAAAGCCAATGTATCTCATTTAACAATTTTTAGTAAAATGACCTTCACTAGCTTCTTCTTGCTCTAGAGTCCCACTACTCCCAACAACTAGAGCCAAGGGTGCTTCACTGCTCTCCAAAGCCCATACACTTATGGCAAGAGTTAAGAAGAAAATAATGAAGTAGCATAACAGTAGCACAGGAGCGGAACAACAGTGCAGAAGCAGAACAGCAGCAGCACGAAGAAGAGAAATGTAGCGTGTAGTGGGCGTAATCGAAATCCATAGCTGATCTGTTGGGAATGAACTTGTCCAACTGCCAAAATGAATCAAAATAAAACTGATTGAGATGTAAATAATAACATCCAAAAAAAATCTCCAATTTAATTTTTCAGATTGAACCACCCAAATAATTGATTTAAGACATTGAAGCCCATACACTTATGGCAAGAGTTGAGCAGAAGAAAAGGTTCAGCTTCATGACAAAGGAGGAAATAAACCAGAACAACAAGTTCAGCTTCATGATAAATAAGGGCATTCACAAGGCAAATCATATAACATTTCAGATTGGAGTATAAAGCCAAGCACATGAACAACAAGTAAGAATCGATAATACCACTGTCAATTACCAGAAAGAAGCACAATGTTTGCAACAACTTTTTACCGACAAAGTAGATTTATGTAGTTTTTGATATCAAAGTAGATTTATGTAGTTTTTCATAACAAAGTAGATTTATGTACCAACAAACATGTAGCTTTTAATAACAAAAGCACACAATGTTTACTAACTCTGCTTCAATTCAGACAAAAAATAAGCATTGAATATCGATAATTGATCATACATCCATCATACCAGTTAAAAATACACGCAACAAACAATATCCAGCCAACTATATCTCATTGATTATGCAATAATATGGAAATTATCAACATACAACCAATTGCATACAACACAAACAAAACCATGAACTTTCAATATATCAAGTAACCCAAAAACATCACAAGGTTGATTTGCAAGTAATTTTTTAAAAAAAAAAAAAAAAAAAAAAAAAAAAAGCCTCACCCATAAGCAGACATTTCGTGCATAATAGTCAAGAGTCTGGAATGAATCATGTGTAGCTTTGTATTCTGCCACATAACCTACAATAAGTACATGGAAATTTTAAAACAAAATGCAACTTGTAGATCGTTAATGTGTACCTTTCATGACAGAGTTGAATTTATATGAGTTCTGCTCTTTAACTTCTAGCCTTTTCATACAGACCAGTACATAAAATTCTAAGACGAAGCCATCTGTGAAAACAAATCAAAACATGTCAGAGAAGTCAATAATAATTTTAGGAAGGGAAAGGGATTAAGGGTGTGAGAGCTTGGCATGCAGCATTGGCCTAATAAACATTAGTTCAAAAGACATTTGTCCAAGACTACTCAGTGATCAGTATCCAGCACAGCTACTGAAAGCCTGAGCTAGCATATAATATGCAGTACAGAATTAAGTCCTTGAAAGTGCATTCAATTAATGATGCGTGACATATACTAGTCATACAGAGGTCTCACTGGAAAATGCTTAGCAAACTCTATAGCTAGCCAAATTGATTGATTTACACTCCATAACAACTCTTCCACTAGGTTCTCTACCCAACCAAATTTCATACAGATCAACTGCACTGGTATACTATACTAAATGATCTGTTTAAAAAATGTGAAACATTAAACACAAATCGCAATTACCAATAACAAGTCATAACCTAACACTGATACAAAGTATGATAAAATATACCAACCTTTAAGTTCAGTCAAATGATGCTCAACCCGGCTCTGGAAATGGCTCTCATTCAATTATGTTAGAGCGCTACTGGACATGCATTTCGGCCGTTGCTTAACCACTGCATCCTCAAATTCCATAATTAAATTCGCATAACTAGAGATACAAGATGCGTCCTGCAACCCTATTTTAACAATCAAATTAAATACAACATCAATAACACAAAATCCTATACGGCTATACCTATTAGCCCCTAATCATCAAGACCAAAACTTTACGGCAAAATTTACCAATAATATCTGATTTATTCACTTAGATACATCCTTAGCATAATTCATCAATACATTTACATGTAAAATATATATTTTCTCTAGTTCATCTTCAGTCCAATAATCACGATTAGAATCAGACCTTCAATAAAACTACAACCATCTTATGGAGCATATGGATAATCAAATGGTTATTTTCTTCTCTAATGAAATTCTTAAAAAGATTGAATGCAATGTCTATTCTAATAAATTAATCTAAGGATTATGGATACTCCCTCCTCCCCCTTCTTTCACCAATCATAAGATGAGACCATCTTCCACAGTACACCAGCCAAATTTTCACCTTTTTAATCCTCTCTTTAGTACAATTTTTTTTCCAATTTAACTCAAGCAACAACTGTTTTTACCATCTCTAATACTGAAGACTGTCTTTTAAAATCAGTTTCCTACAACTTTAGAGAGGAACTATTTATATTGCAGAAGGTGCTGCTCTTGCAGTTTATAGCTGCAAAGTACTTCAGATGGGGATGCAGCAACTCCTGATTGGATACTCTAATTTTGTTGTTACTAAAATTCTCAGGCCCTTTTTAATCTCCTTGATGTCTAGACATCATCATGCGAGATACTTAACATCACATGCAGGAACCAAAAAACAGCATTTTTCCCGCATCAACAAACAACAGAGAAGTTTAAGAAATTGTGTTCTAGATCAATTGCTAAATCTTGATGATTAATATAACTTTAAAAAAATTGTATCTGGGAATAACTTAAATGCTCTCCATAGTTATATAAACTGATCAGATTGCCATATCCTCAAGCAGACATACCCAAGGTCATATTTGTAATTTTCTTTGAAGCATAACAAATTTCTCTACAATGAGCAATGTACTGTGCCATTGAACAGCGATTTGGGTAAAACATAAGAGTCTATCATCATATGAATAAAAGTTAATCATCGTGGGAACACATAAGCATTAAGTGGTAACCATTAAACTATACCTAATCACATTTCTAACAGGGTGTACAGACTACAGATTCCTTTGTCTAGTTTACACATAATCATAATTGGAATACATCAGCAATAAATGATAACTATTTAACTATACCATATCACATTTCCTACAAGGTGTACAGACTACAAATTCCCTAGTCTAGTGTACAGGTAATCATAATGTGAAGTTGGGAACACATCAACACTAAGAAGTAACCATTAAACTATACCTAATCACATTCCTATAAGGTGCACAGGATACATAGTCCCTTGTATAGTTTACACACTAAGTCATCCTCTACTACAACCACATCAAATGTTATTAATTCTCTTTTTTCGGTGCGAAAATTTGCTTTTGGAAATAAAAAAAAACAGCCCAAATGAAGCATAGCAAAACATTGACATAAATCAAACTTAAAACTCAGCTTAAAAAGAAAAAATCACAAATTTCAAGAATCCTAGTCAACTTATTACACTTAAACCAATAACTAACGTAAAAACTATAAAACATTTCATTGAGATCTCTAAACCAAATAATGTAAACCAGTCAACAATCATCCATAATAGAAATCCAAAAATGAATGTCAAGCTAGCTTAGTTAGTAAATTCCCGCGAGTTATACCTAAGACCTGAAATCAAATCCCATCTACATCTCTGCCCTTCTCGACTCTTCATACAACAACAACAAGCAAGCAAGCAAGCAAACAAACAAACAAACAAACAAACAAACAATACAAAATTCAAAAACAACAAACAACAATCACAACAAGAACAATCAAGAGCGAGGGATACAGATCGAGTCTCATAGAGCCTGAACTTGTGCATACACGTCTCAGGAGGAGAGAGACTAGGGTGAAAAGATTGAGGTTCCTCTTCGTGAGAACCCATTTTCCTTATTTTTCGCGCTCTCTTATAGATCCCTGAGCCTCTCAGACTCGCATTCAAATTCCTCATTTCAAATTAACAAATTCACCATCACCCAATTCTTCAACCATTGGCTTAGATAACTTAATGAGAACAATGTCCTACAAAATCTCCCAAAAATCCAATTAAATACCATGAATAAAGAATTACCAGAAATTAACAAATCCCAAAAGGGTATCAACTAAACAACTCAATCAAGCAAAAATCAATGATTCCATTAGAAGCAAAGAAACCAAATTCTGAAAAACTCGAAACTAGAACAGCCCAAATTCAACTCAAAATCACAAGTTGAACAAAACCCATCAAAGAAAACCCGAAAAATTAAAAGAACAATCATCTAAACAATCACATCAGCAAGAAAAATAAAAAAACAAAATTCCAACAAAATCAAAAAACCAAAACACCCAAAATTCACCACAAAATCAATATTAAAAAAAAACCCATTAAAAATCCAAAACAATAAATAAAAAAAACCCTCACTTTATACGATTTAGGAGAAAAATCACCCAATTGAGCATCACCTGAAGGCGAAACAGCCTCATCAACATCACCATCATTGTCGCGATAGATAGAAGAAACCGAGGCGAAAACTTCAGGAGAACAAGGAAGATCACGAGAGAGAAGTTTAAGAGCACAAATCGAAGTCTAAGATCATTAAATCTGTCGAATTGAAGGAACTCTAAACAACAAAATCCGCCTACCACCACCATCTATGTACTCACACTACGTATTCAACAATTGACCTAAGAAACTGATTCAGTGAAGAACAGAAAGCTCATAAGCCGCTTCAATGGAGAATTCAGAGTACGACTTAGTCGGCTTCAACGGAGAGGAGAGGCTTCAGAGGACGATTTCGATAGAGTGTAGCATGAAATTAAGGTTTCGTCCTACTTTAATGAAGTGCAAAACAAATTAGGGTTTCGTTCTTCTTTACTCTTGAGCAAAATGAAAGAGAGGGCTGAGTAAGTTCAGCGACAATGGAGGTGAGGGCTAACTGAAGTTCAGCGACAATGGAGGTGAGGGCTAACTGAAGTTCAGCGACCATGGAGGACGGGTGAGTGAATTGAAGTTTAGCGACCATCGGTTGAGGACGGTTGAGTGGAGTTCCGTTTTTTTTAGATGAGAGAGAAGAGAGAGAAAGGGCTATGATGAGAGAGAAGGGTTAAGATGGTTATGCGAGTGGGTCACAATTATACTTTATTTTATTGTTTTAGCAGCTGGCCTTTCAAGGTCAGTTACAAATAATATGGTCAAAATTTAGTTGACCTAGTATTTGTAACGGACATATAATTGGCCAGTTACGAATAAATAATATATTTTAAAAATAATTAATATTAGCAGCGGGCATTGTTATGTCAGTTGTAAATGTTATAGTATTCGCAATTGGCATCACATAGGCCAATTGCTAATATAAATTTTTACTTTTACACTCTAAGTATTAACAACGCTAATTACTATGCCAGTTGCTAATAACATAGTATTTGTAACTGACATTATTTTAGCCAGTAGCTAACATATATAACGCCAGTTGCTAATAGGGTGCTGCTAATAGCAATTTTTCCACTAGTGCTAAAAGAGATTGAACCCGCCCTAAATAGGCCTCTACTCAATTCTTATGACATTCATGTGCGCTTTTCGATCAACATACATACATCAAGTTAATTCGAAACTTGTTTAATCTACGTTGGTTGATTATTAATGCACAATTAAATCTATTATTGGTGATCACTTGAATTTAAATCATATTAACCTAAATCAATTATTAATTATCTTATTAGGCGTGATTTCAAGTACAAATTCCCTTTAAACCTGCAACAAGGGGCGTGATCAAGCAATAACAATAAATCATGAATAATCAAGCAACATATGATTAATACAACAATCATTATCATAACAACATCATCAAAATATCGTTAATAGTAAGACCCTAGGCATGATACTAAATGGATTAATAAAAAATCCTAGTATGTCACTAATAACAAAATCAAAGCGTTATCCTAAACATGATACTAGAAATCATAATCAACATTCTAAACATGATACTAGGAATTAAAATAACATTGTAAACATGATTTCTACTCCAAAATCAAAAGAACGATAAAAAGGATAATTGAACTACTTACTTTGATGCCTCAACCTTCTTGCTATTAAAACAATACACACGTTAGTAAACTTCAAGAAAGTTAAACCAATAAAGTAAATAAATCAAATATGAATAGAAATATAGATTTGGGGCCAAACCATCAAAACTATCAACCTTTCACGTCGAGGTCGAAGGCAACGTCGAGGACGGCTAGAAGTATTCAAATCTCATGAATGAGGTATTGTGACTGATTTAGGAGAATATCAAGGATGGGTTTAGGCTAAGGCTAAGAACATTGGAATTAAGAATTTCGGGTTAAGATGATGGGATTTTCAAGGCTAATTCTCGATGATTGTTGGTGATTGTTGATGATTGGAGCTAGGTGGTTATAGCTAATTGTAGCTTATGATTGATGGTTCTTGCTGATAGGGAAAAAAGAGAGTCGAAAGATCAGAAAAAGATCAGAATTTGAAACAAAATAGGACTGCTCTTGACGCGCTGCGCTGGTGCTGACGCATCGCGCTGATACTGATGCGCCGCGTTGAGTGCTGACGTGTCGCGTTGGGACTGTCGCAGTGCGTTAGTCTTGGCTTTATGCGCTGGTTTTAAAGAATAATCCATTTTATTCAGAGTTTGGCTTCTGATGGGTTTTATATGCAAATTATATCCAAACGTCTTTTAATTTGAATAGAACAAGGATTATCAAACGAGAAGTTTTATTCGGCTTCAAACTACTTTGATCTTTATCTTTTCGAAAAGGATAGATTAGAATCTTCTAGAGACTTCTAGAAATTCCTAACTGACTTAGGATTGGGAATAAGATATTTGGACCCTCATATGATCATTGGGTCGTAGCTAAGGTGACCTAGGCTCGATTTGGGCTCGTTTTAGTATTTTGGCCATAACTTATTCGTTATAAATCGGATTTGGGCTTATAATATATCGTTGGAAAACTCTTTCAAACCCCATCCAACTAAACAATAATTGGACCGGGATTGTGGACCAAAACAATCTGGTTTGGACTTTTTATGAATTGGGCACGAAATGAATGTTTTTGGGTTTAAAGTCACGAAATGAATGATTTTGGGTTTAAAGTCACGAAATGAATGATTTTGGGTTTAAAGTCACGAAATAAATGATTTTGGCTTAAACATTTTAGGAAAGGTTAGAAATATGGTTAAGGCTTAAGGAAACTTCACGAGACTCTTCAACTCTTTACCGAACTCGTTAATCAAAGATGTGAAATGTACTCATCACTGGGTTTGGTTTTTGAGGAGACACAATCAGGTTTCTACACTAATGTGGCGCGATACTCGGCAAAAAGTTGGAACGCCAAATGTCGATGTCTCGTGGCCTGGCTAAAAGTTTAGCTTTATATATTAGTTACTAGTTTTGTGCCCCGTGCAATGCCCGGGTTGTTTATTGAATTCTAAATAAAACTTTTTATCTAATATATATATATATATTTTATTTAAATTTTCTACCATGGATCAATAATCACTTGACATGATTGTCCGTTTATGGGTATTTTATGGATTAATAATCACTTGACAATCTAATAAAATTAGAAGTAATAATGTGCAGCTAAAAAGAGCGGTTGTCTAAATCTACGATCTCCTTTCATTTTCTCTGAACATCTAGGTAAATGCTGGTTGCATGTTAAGAATTAAGAGAACTGTTATATATAATAACAAGTCTCTTTGATTTTTTTTATTTTTTCCTTTTGTACCCCTCTGGATCCGCCATTTTGTATAAAAATATTGGTATTTTATTAAAAATAAAATTCTAAATCAGAGTTTTATTGAAAATAAAACTTTTAAATAACTTTTTTATTATACTAAATGTATTCAAATTTTATTGAAAATAAAACTCTAAAATAACTTTTTTATTATACTAAATGTATTCAAATTTTATTGAAAATAAAACACTAAAATAACTTTTTTATCCTATTCTACAAAAAATATATTGAAATAAAACCTACATGTCATATTAATAATTATTTGTCGCCTACGTGGCGTGACACTTGGCGAAAAGTTGGAATGCCAAGTATCATTGTCTCGTGGCCTCGCTAAAAGTTTAGATTTATATATATACTAGACTAGAACCCGTGCAATGCACGGTTTTTATAAAACCTATTTTTGTAATTTGTAAATTACTAACAAAATTAAGCTATAATATAAAAATATCTGTAAAAATTTTAGATTTTCATCAAAAGTATGATTTTCACCAATGTTGCCTAATACATATTTCAATGTAGGAGCTTTAGGAGGTTAATTATTAGTGTGCTATTTAAAATTATTTCAATTTTCTAGGATACATTGATAGGTTGCAATTGTAATGTGGAAACTTCTGATATTTAAATTTCAAAAAAGTTAAATAGGGTAGCTCTAAAAAAAACAAAACAAAACAAAACAAAACAAAAAGATGACATCATCTTTACATTTAGGCGGGAATTGAAAAAGTTCATTAATAGATTGACATGTGAATAGTGATGATGTCAGCATACTATGTTTTAGTAATAGTTAATAAACTAGTTTTGTGTCCGGGATTGTTGATAATTTTTTTGGTTTGAATGTTTAAATCGGTTTTATAATCCCGTTTGATAATGCTAGATATTTAGACATACAATATCATATCGCTTATTTATATAATAATTGTACTTTTTGTAGTTTTGTTTGTAAATAGAGATCTATGTTATTATAGATTTGAAATTATTTTTATTGAACTTTGATTATTTTTACTGAACTAAAAGTATTTATTTTTTTACCAAATTAAAATCATTTTTACTAATTAAAACTTATTTTTATATTATTTTTAAAGATAAATTAAATATATTATAAATGGATATTATTTTAAAGAACTTTTTAAGACAAATTTTATGATGGAATTAGAACTGAGTTACAGGGTATTTATTAAAAGTTATGATTAATTTTGTATATGTGAAATATTAGAAGTATATCAATAATAAAACTCTATACAACATTTTTATCTTAAAAAATCTATCAAAAATCTTGATAAAACTTTAAGATAACATTTTTACTTGAATGTTAAATATAGTCAAATAATTCGTTCTGATAATGTAGGATATTTCGACATACGATATCATATGGAGTGTACTTTGTGTAGTGTTGTTTGTAAATAGATATATATCTATGTTATTATTGTCTTGAAATTATTTTTATTGAACTTAAATTATTTTGGTTGAAGTGAAAGTATTTTTACCAAACTAAAATTATTTTTACCGATTAAAACTTATTTTACTGATTCTCTGATAATTTTGGAAATAAATTAAATAACAATGCATTTTATATGCGGCTAACCACAACATCTGGGCGGACAAAATAACCCCTATAAAACTGATCGAGTAACCCCTGTAATACTAAATGAGTAACCTCTAACACTGACTAAGTAACCCCTGTCTATAACAGTGATTGAGTAACCACTATAACACTGACCAAGTAACCCCTATAGCACTAACGAAGTAACTCTGATCTTGTAATGGTTGGTGACACGGTTTAGCCAGCTACATATAAAAGTTTGTGATTAAATATATTATAAATTGATCTTATTTTAAAGTTTTTAAAACGAATTTGATGATGGAAATAGAACAAAGTTATAGGATATTTATTAAAAGTTATAATTAATTTTGTATATATGAAATATTAGAACTCTATCGATGATGAAACTCTATACAACAATTTTATCTTAAAAATTTATCCAAAAATCGCTTACTTAGTATCATATGTGTCAGAATAATACCTATTTTTCGCCTACATGGTGCGACACTTGGCGAAAAACTGGAATGCCAAGTGTCACTGTCTCGTGGCCTAGCTGCAAGACCGGCGACTTTATATATTAGTGATCACTAGTTTTGTGCCCGGGTGATGCCTAGATTGTTGAAAAAATTCAGTATAAACTCATTTGCTTGAATGTTAAATACAGTCCTACAATCCCTTTTGATAATGTAGGATATTTAGACATACGATGCCATATCGCTTATTTAATTAAATATTAGGTACTTTTTGTAGTTTTCGTTGTAAATAGATATCTGTGTAATTATTGACTTGAAATTATTTTTATTGAACTTAAATTATTTTCGCTGAACTGAAAGTATTTTTACCAAACTAAAATTATTTTTACTAATTAAAACTTATTTTTATCGATTCTCAATTTTATTTTAAATAAATTAAAT